GAGGGGGGAGGGGGAGGGGGGGGGGGGGGGGGGGGGGGGGGGTTGTAGGTGGTAGGGGGTTGAACTAATATTACTGGGCAGATATTGGTAGTCTAAAAGCCAACCTGAACGCTGCCCTGAGTAAATGAAAGGGTGATGTACAAGTAATATGGAACAGGACAAATGAGCTTTCTTGCTTTTTGCTTCCTTCTCTGTATCTTTTTTTTCTTTTACTACCTTTTATTTATGTCTGTTTTCTTGGCATTGTCCCAGGTGTCTTCTGGGAATAGTTATCTCTGGGTCTTTTATCTCTGTGTTTGTCATTTAGTGTGATCCTGGCAGTCCCAAAAGCTAGGATATTTATGGTGAGTGAGTTCAGGCTGGTGCTTAGTTGATTCCCATGACCTGCAGTGATAAGCAGAATCACTTTGGATAAAGCCTTGGATCAAATTTTGAGCTGGAGGTGAACTTTTATAAATTTTCAGTATAGTTGGAGAATGGTGTTCCTCGTTTTTAAAAAAAGAAACTTGCATATTCTCAAGTTTAGGGAAGACAGTAGACTAAATAAGGAAGTCCCAGATATTAAGAGAGCAACTGTCTCTGTTCCAGACCCAAGAAATCAGTGCAGTTTGTTTAGACCATAGCCAAACGTTCAGGCCTATGGATCTGTATCTGACACAACTGGACGATCTACAGCTTGGCAAATGTGTTTCCCCCAAGATGAGTTATAAAAGGTCTCTTGTGGGTTTTCCCTGTTGGCTAGTTGGTTGCAAAAGCATGCCTGTTTGTATGTACTGACATTACGTGTATTTATATGTTTGATACCCAAGTGCTAAATCTAGCTGAATATGTATATACTACAAACCTGTTAATTTTGCCAATTAATATATTAGGGGTTCAGGGAAGAGAGGAAGTTGGTTTTGGTTCTGCTTGTAGTTGCTTTAAAGCTAAGCGTTTGGTCGCTTACCCACCTTTACTAAGCTATCTTAACTTTATTTTCTACATTTGTTTTGGAAACGAGAACCCCCCAGAACTAGTTAAGTGTGAAAACTTCCATCATTACTCCTATCGATGTGTCATATCTCCTCCCAACAGAGGTTTGTTAAAACTTGCCTTGGATTCAATTTGTTTGTCTTGTCGAACCATTTGAAGCACCTAAGGCGCAGAATCAGTTTCCCTGTATTTCTGTAAAATAACAGAAGTAAGGGATCTGGATTCTGCAGAAAACAAACAAAAAGAAAACCTTGATCTTATTTAAGTAGAAAGGAAAGATGAGTTTCTCATGCATGAGGATTTCATTCCTGAACTTTTTGCATGATCTTATACGTACCTCTCTCTGCTTTTATTGTAGTAGCCTGAAATTATTGTGTGTACACAAAAGAAGACAATGTGCAAACTTTAGAAGCTATGTGTCTAAACTACTGGAATTTGAAGCTTTGCTGATGCTTCACAAAAGGTTTCAGTTTTATGCTTTTCAAAGGTACTGAGTTTCTTCTCTCTGTTTTCCTTGCAGGTGTGTTACTAGACATCCAGCAGCACTTTGGAGTCAAAGACAGTGGGGCTGGCTTACTACAGACAGGTAAGAGTATTTGTTTTCTCACTGGTTTTTGTAACCTTTCTCTTCTCCGAAGGGTGCTTTCAGATTTCTTCAGTTATGGCCCTTGGGCACATTGGTTGTGAAATGTACTCTTACTAGGAAGATGAGTGAACGTGAGGGATTTTTTGGTTTTGATTTGCTGGTGGGCAGGAGATCAGGGCTCAGAATGACTGGAGTGCAGAATGGGCCAAAAGCAAACAAACCCAATGATATTCTTTATGACAACTAAATTCAAATAGGAGCTGGCTACTTCCCCTAGATCAGAAAACTCATGATAAACCAACAGCAGGATCCTGTTGTTCTCACTTCTCTTAACTCTCCGTAGGTTGGTAATAAGTGTGATGTGTGATGCCCTTCATGTGCTCTACAGAGAATCTGCTGAATGTACAGTAATTGGGAGTACAGTGTGGCATGAAAATGTAAAACTCATCAGGACAAGTACCTGAGGATGAAAACTGCAGGAAAGGCTAACAATCATTGCATTCATGGTAGCTCATGGATTAACAATATCCCTATGATTTGGGTGGCGTTACCTTCAGACACTTCTCTCCTTGTATTCAAGAAAGAAGGATTATTGCAATTGTGATGTTGATGTCCTTTTAATGTAGCAGACATTTTAATGTTGCAGACATCTGCAGACAGAGCTGTACAGCCTCAGGGACAGACCCAGCTTTTCTGGCCTCTAGTCCTGAGGTGGTTTAGAGGAGTGCCTTTGTCAATGGGCTGGGTTTGACGACTTTGAGTAGCAGTCTCATGTAGTTAAAACAGCACATTTGATCTTTATGGAGAGTTGAAAGGACTAGCCAGAGAGCAAATGCAGTATTTTAAGGAGAGAAACAGTCTGGTTGGAAACTTCCTACAGAATTATTACTTGGAGTCATAGATTTGTGGTGCTGTGGTTGTCTTGTCACTGTCATTTGTCTGAGGGAACTACACTGGAACAGTTATATCTCTGAAAAAATTAGAATTCAATTAGGATTAGAAATAGTGTGCCAGAAAGACATTTTTTTTCCATGTTTTTTTTCTTACGCTATCACAGTGGATACCAAATGCCTGTCAGGAGCTTGTCCGTGAAACTGTAGCCAACAATAAAGTGTACAAAATCATTCATTCTTTGTCAGCACACTAGAGGTGAGAATGGTCTGGAGCTCTGTCAGTTGGCCTTTGATTTCAAACTATGCAAACCACTGCAGTATCTCCTCCTCCTTGTTTTCTGCAACGCGTGGCACCACAGGGTCCTCATCTGTGGTTACAGCTTCTTGGTAATGTTGCAACACAAACAATAACAGTTTGTATTAGGGCTTTAAAAATGCTCTCCTTGTAGGATGGCAGAGTTCAGCTAAGCTGATGAGTGCAGCACGTATCCAGAACAGAAGGCCTGAGCTTTACAGGTGTTACTGGTTATAAGTAGCATCAATCAGTTATGCCCAAAGTGGCACCGGTTGTCCGTCAGGCTCTTTTCTACAGCAATTATTTGTATTTATTTATTGTTCTCAGAGGAACAGGTCCTCAATGTATCATTAGATGCGAAGTGCCTTCAAGAAAATATTATGGTGGAAAACGACGCTTGCCAAAGCATATATTTAATCTTCATTCCCCTCAGTGGATGAAATCCTTCTGCAGATGATTTGCTGACAGCAAGTAAGAGCTAAGCTCCAACAGGGCATTTCATTTGTAAATTGCAAGGAATATTTATTTCTCTAGCAAACGTACAGGGCATCTGAAAAGAGTATCACTGAGATATTACAAGATTGCTGCTGACTGTGTCGTTTTGTAACTGATAACTGTTGCTTTAAGAAAAGCAACATTTTCTCTTGTGTGTTTTTTGTTTTTTGTTTTTTTTTTTTTCCTACCCTGAAAACCGAGCTCACAAAATAAAACACCATTTCACGTAAGTAAGGGTAAGGGCACATAACTGAAAACTTATTAAATATATTACTTTAGCTTAACAAGTTTCTGTGTTGGCAGCTGGCCTGTGGCTCATGTACCCTTAACCCTGGTGAAATAAAACACACAGGCCTAAACCATCATAAACACTGCTTTTAATCTATTGTCTGTTCTCCGAGTCCGACCTCTCTAGATTGTGTAAATTGGGGAAAATGGATGCAGAGTATAAAAGCATTTGCCCAAGGTTGCAGAGGAAGTCTATAGTAGAGCTGGGACCAGGACTGATGTCCCTGATGACCTCTGCCTTAACCTTGAACAGTTCCTTTGCAAGCAGAGAGACAGAAATACCATCTTATTCCCAAGAGATGGTCCTGCTAACTAATTGAGTGATGTGAGACGAAAGACTGCTCATCCTGAATATGTCCTCTGAATAAAGAGTGGATTAGTTCTCAGGTTGTTAATTCTGCATCTAAATGAGTCCTAAATTAATTTACAATGTTAATGAGGGGGAGTGAAATGTAGTATTCACTGGCAGTTCATATCACTCATCAAACAGGCTTTAAAAATAATAAAGAAAATCCTTTTAACTGAGAAACAAGGCTGCACGCAGTTTGAGGAAGAGATGGTACTGAAAACTCAAACAGCAAGGGGAAAAGAAATCCACCAAAGGCAATGTATGACCCTGCATTCATACCATAACCCATTCTTTGCAGGCACAGCCAATCTCATAGCTCTCTCACTCCAAACATTCAAAAGCCAATTCATACACTCTCAGCTTCTGCTGCTCTCTGGAAAGCAAAGGTGACGGGTTTCTTAGGAATTGCAGAGACAGAACCTGAATTTTCATCTTCTTTTATATTAATCCCAAGATACAAGCTGCTCTTTGCCTAGGAGATATAATGAAAACTGGTGAGAGTGGTAACTCTAACTCCCTGCACAGAAAAATCACAGGGACGCTCCAGCCTCATCCATAATGGAAAGGAGCAGGACGTGGTAGTCTCTGCAGCAAGGATCCTGTGACAGCAAAGGACACACTGACAGATGGATTGCAATTGCTGCTTCCCCAGTAGCATTGTAGAGTAACAGGCATATAACTGTTGATTCTGGAGCCTCAGCTGTCTCTTGATGATGCTATAATTCTGTGCTGATCTTCCTTTTTAAAGCACTACGTATGTAGTTATATAAATATTAGTTAAGTTCACTTAACTGTCATACAGGTCTGCATCCAAGCTTTCTTGTGCTTTTCATTTCTTACTGGTAGCTTTTCCCAGCTGGAGAAAGGATAATCCTGGCTGATTGCAAAAGGTGACAGAGCATCTCCTTGCCTACTTGAGCTGTACAGCTGTAGTCAGTCAATACATTTGTAAGCCAAACCATACAAAAAGTCTTTCCCATGTGTGGAGGTAGGTAAGAGCAGCAATTTGGACTCATCAAAACTACAGGCCTCTAAAAACACAAAGACTGAGAAGGTGGACAACTGGATTTGTAGAACTGCTTCAAAATAGCATTGTCCTTCCATATATACTTAGACCACAGGAGTAGTGCCCCCGTGCTGTACTCTTGGTTGTCACTAGATTTTTTTCCCCCTTCTTTCTTCCTTTTTTGTGCTTTATTGCTCTGTCTGCTTTCCTTGCCCTCGGATTTATTTTGCTTTTGTGTCTCTTGCAGTGTCTATTTAGCACACCAGAGCTCCAACAATAATAGTGCCTGGCTCTCAATACAGTTTGTCTTCTGTAGATCTCAGGATGTTTTATATAGGGAGGGATAACGAGGCTTGCCCTTTTCTACAGATGGGGAAACCAAGAAGGCCAGATGGGAGAAATGACCTGCCCGAAGTCACACAGCCAGTCTGAGGCAGAGCCAGGGTGAGAACTGCGGTCCAGTTCCTGCAGACGCAGCATTCAACTAGGTTAACGCTTAGACCCAGAGATTTGGTCCTTGTTAATGGGCACCTTAATCTTCTAGCCTAGGCAGCTCAAGCTCAGGGGAAGGCACGTAAAACAGTGGGGACTTCTGCAAGCGGAGACTGTGAGGCATCAAATGGAGGGTATGGCAAGGATTCCATTGAAATGCAGAGGGGAAAAGTGTCTGGCTTCAGAAAGAGCATGGGGATGTCATTAGAGGAAACCCTGGTAACCAAAAGTTTATACCATAAGGTCAGAAGCAAGGAAGTTAAGTGTGAGATCTGGAAGGACTCATTAAAGGTGAATAATTACAGATAACTGGAGCTCTGAAAGAACTTGTCTCTTCTCATATGGAGAGAGATGCGCATTCTCCCAAGTGCCTTGCAGCCCCTGGTTTCCCAGGAAGCCTAGCAATGCCAGGTACTTTCTTAAGTCTTGTTGTGGCCTCATTTTTCCTGTAAGGGTCAATTCCAACTAAAACTTCTGTTCATTTGAAAAGTGAAGCCTTTACCTACCTGAGTTCTGCTACGTCTTGAGCCGACCTTGTGTAACCTTGCACTAGACTGCAACCTTGCAAATATGTTAGCAGCTCTGGTGTGCTGTTATTGTACCAACTGAGCTACAAGCATGTGCAGTGAGTAGGGGATTTGAAATAGTAGAGTGCAATGATGGGATAAATCAGACTTGCTAAATTGAAGGTTTTTCTTTCAACTCCTTTTGACTCCCATCTTCTTGTCATTGGCTTATGATGACAGCCTATAATGCTCTAACATTTTTTTATTTATTCCACACAGAGACCACTTCCTCTGGATGCTAACCTTGTATATGTGCATATTACATGAGCTGCAGGTGCTGCATTTTTCTTCTCTACCATCTGCTTCTACCTGAATAGATACTGTCTTGCTCCTCATCTGTGCTATGCATAACGGAATCAAATCTTCATCTTTCGCTTCCTACTGCCCCTGCTTAACTGTTCTTGCTAGAACAGAGGAACTCCTGTTCAGGACACTTTCCTGTTTTCTATTTAAAATTCATGGGCTTTCCTTTTGAGTGAATGACTTCTTACACCAGAGCGCTTCCCAAGGCCCTGGTATCTCAGGTGTGCAATCCAGAAGGCGAGACAGAATGCTTTGTAATTGCTGCTCTTGATTTATGGCTGCAAATGGTTTGGACCGCCCTGTCCTACCCAGA